AGCAACTTTTTGTTGTTACAAAAAGAGGTACCAATCTTTTTTCCATAATTATCCTATATTTATCCAGTAGAATTTTCTTCAAGTTGTCTCCTATACCGTTTTTTCCCTTTAAACAACTTTTTAAAGGTATAATTTGTATGCAGTACAGTTTACATAGATACAATAAAATGCACCCATTTAAGCATATAGTTCAATGGGTTTTGACAAATATATCTACCATGTAGATTCACTTCACAGTGAAGACATAGACTATTTCCATCACCCCCAAAAGTTTCCTTATGCCCTCTGCTGTCAATCTCTCCTGGCCCCAGTTCCAGCACCCTGGGAACTAGAACAGAGCTCAGCTCCTATACAGAAAGGAGGAAGACAAAAGCAGTACTGGACTTGGAATGGAACACTTATTTCCAATCTAAGAAATCTGTATTCAGCCAAACTACCCATAAAGTTTGAGGATAGTTTATTGAAAATTTCATGAGTGGTTTAAAAAAATTTAACCCCCATTCCCCCCTTCTCAGGAAGCTAGAAAATGTGACCTACTAACTTACAGCCAATTTAAAAAGGAAGATATGAGAGGTCCCTGGGTGCCTCAGTTGGTTAAGCATCCGACTTCAGCTCAGTTTATGATCTCACAGTCCGTGAATTTGAGCCCCGCATCGGTCTCTGTGCTGACAACTCAGAGCCTGGAGCCTACTTCAGATTCTGTGTCTCCCTCTCACACTCTGTCCCTTCTCCGCTCACACTCTGTCTCCCTCTTAAAAATAAACACTTTAAAAAATTTTAAGAAGGAAGATATGAGATATGGAAAATAGGAGCTGAAACATACAGCGAAGGAAATCCCTCAGATTTTCTGACAGGAGATCTCAGAATAACTACCATGCCACAGATAGATGCTAACCAGTCCAGACTGGAGCACAGTAGAGGCTCCAGGAGAGTCCTTTCCAGGCAGAGCACCTGTACGGTTCAGCACCCTGAAGGAACAAAGGAACATTTTGGTAACTGACATAGGTATAGAACTTATGATAAGTACATAGAAAACTAATTTAAGAGGCCCCTGGGTGGCTCAGTTGGTTAAGCCTCTGACTTCGACCCAGGTCATGATCTTGCTGTCTGTGAATTCGAGCCCCACATCAGGCTCTATGCTGACAGCTCAGAGTTTGGAACCTGCTTCAGATTCTGTGTCTCCTCTGTCTTCCTCTTCCCTGCTCACACTCTGTCTCTCTCTCTTTCTCAAAAATAAATCAATATTAAAAAGAATTTTAAAGAAAACCAATTTAAAAGTCTGTATAGAAAAAGGAGGTGCGCCTGGATTGCTCAGTCAGTTAAACTTCCGACTTCTGCTCAGGTCATGATCTCCCAACTCCTGAGTTCAAGCCCCACATCCGGCTCTATACAGATAGCTCAGAGCCTGGAGCCTGCTTCAGATTTTGTGTCTCTGTCTCTGTCTCTCTGCCTCTCCCCTGCTTTCACTCTGTGTGTGTGTGTGTGTGTGTGTGTCTGTGTGTGTGTGTGTGTGTGTGTCAAAATAAATAAACATTAAAAAAAATCTATATAGAAAAGGAAAATTGTGTTTTATTATATATAAGGCTACAAATTCCCTAAAGCATCATTATAATCCATACGTTTTGGCATCTGGTATTTTTATCCAGTAGTTCAAAATACTGTCTCTTTTCTACTGTGATTTCATATTTGACCTGTGAGTTGAAAAGGATGCTGTGAAATTTCCAAATGGAGGATTTTTAAAAGTACCCATTTTTGCTTGTTTCCCTTCTAATTATATTGTAGGCAATGTGTCCCATACAATACTGATTCTTTGAAATTCATTCAGACGTTTCTTTGACCAATTGGTCACATTTTATAAATGTCCTATGTGTGCTTGAGAATGCACTTTCTGTAACTATGGGCAGTTTTTCTGATTGCCTATCTGACAAATCAGACTTTTTAGATATATGCAAGTTTTCCAAATCTTTATTATTTTTTTTTCCTCAGATTGACTTAATACTTGGCAGAGGTATGTAGAAATCTCCCACGATGGTGTTGAATTTGTTTACTTCTCTCTATAGTTGTGTCATGATTTTGAGACTGAGAGCATAAAGATTTAGAATTATGTATCTTCCTGGTAAATTAAGCTTTTTTAAAAAAATCAATATTAGTGACTTCTCTGTCCTTAATAATGCTGTCTGTCCTACAATCTATTTAGTTAAGTCTCAGACCTACCTCTTTGACTTTCTTTTGGTTAATATTTACCCAAAACATTTTTTTTCACCCTTTGAACCTTTCTCTGTTTTAGAAGGTTTCCTGTTAACATTTTTTTTCTTTTTTTCTTCAAACTGAACATGACAAACTCTGCCTTTTAATTGAAAGGTTTAAATCATTTTTATTCCATTTCTAATATACATAGACATGTCTACCATTATACTTATTATCTTACATTTTCCTGCCCTTTTTTCTGTGTGTGCTTTTTCTTTGCATTTTCTTGGAATTGTTTTGGGGTTTTGTTGTTGTTTTTGTTGTTTTTTGGCCTATATTTCCCATTCCATTTTGTTCCCATCTAGTAATTTGGAATTTATACATCCCATTTCTTTTCTTCTGGTGGTTATCCTTGAATTTTTACCAGATGTAAATATTTAATGAAATCTGGTGTTAATATCTTAATCCTGTTGTGAGTGATATGAGCACTTGGAAACATTTGAACTTGGTCACCCAATTTGACCTATTTGCTCTCCATTTCTAGTTTTTCATCTCCCCCCACATTAATTGATATTGTTGGTGGTGATATGATTTTACCCTACTATGTTTGTTTTGTACGTATGGTTGCCCAGTAGTCCTTGTATCTTAGACCTTTTTTCAGAATAATGTCCTTCTTCCTAAATTACATAATTTAGAAATTATTTTAGTAATTATCTTAGTAACTAGTAAATATTTCAGGCTCTGTAGGTGGACAGTGTAGTGAGTGTTTCTTTACCTAAAAATGTCTTTATTTTACCATCATTCTTAAAAGATGGTTTTGTGGAGATGGCTTCCAGAATTCTGAAAATAGTTCACTATTATCTGGCTTCATTCATTGCTCTTGAGGAGGCTGGTGTAAATCAAATTTTTGTTCCTTTGTCTTTTCACCCTTTTTGCTTTTAGAATCTTCTCATTGTGTTTGATATTCTATAGTTTTATTATAGTATGTATCCTAGGATTGGTTTCCTTTTCGTTGTCTTGCTTGGTATTTGTTTTTCTTCCTGGATCTTTGGATTCATTTCTCACATCACCTGGGGAAAAATTTCCCAGTTACTAAATCTATAAATTATTGCTTTTCCTTCCTCTCTTTTGTTCTTCTGAAATTCCTATTAGACAAATGTTAGACTTTCTCATTCTATCCTCTATACTTCTCTTTTCTCTCATGTTTTTGATCTCACTTCTCAACATACATTCTAGGTAATTTATTCAAATTTGTAACCCAGTTCACATATCCATACTCTTCAGGTACATGTAACCATTTGTTTACACATATTTAATAACATTTTTATTTCAATAAGTGGAGTTTTTCCTTTTTAAAAGTTCTAATTTCATTCTCCATACCTGCCAAGTCATTTTATACAGCTTTTTGTCTTGTATTTATATCTTTGTGATTTTCCTTTTTTAAAATAGTTATTCCATATTTCATATCATTTAATCTAATATGTCAAGTTCTCAAGAGGTCTATTGTTTTTTGTTTTTATTTTTTTTAACTCTTCCCAGGTAGTAGTTTGTTTCCTACAAGGTGATTTTTATTCAAGTGCAAGTTTATTTGGTTTGATTTTACTCCATGACAACTAATGATCAAATTAAAGGTAGTTTCCTTCACACAGAATTTCCGTTTGCCTCTTTTGTGAACCAGGGGGGCCCTGTGGACCTGGGAGGGGAGACTTAATCTGAAGTCTAGTTTCTAAGCATTGTTTCAAGTTCATTGCTTCAGACTGAGCATTTGTTTGTTCATCATTTGTCATCTGTTCTTCCTCAACATGTACTGTCCTGCATACCCTCATCTTTAAAATAGTTTTGTTCCTCACTCTCTATTTGGTGGTATTATTTGCTGCCTAATTTTTTTTTTCAGGCTTCAGTAAATATTTTCTGAGAATGTGCCATATCATAATAAGTAAGACTTTTTACCTGAATTATGAAGTGAGAGGTTTGGAAATTCAGTAATAAATAGGTTTTATAGGGACGTCTGGGTGGCTCAGTCAACTGAGCATCTGACTCTTGATTTCAGCTCAGGCCATGATCTCAGGGTCAAGGGATCAAGCTCCAGGTTGGGCTCTCTGCTGAGTGTGGAACGTCCTTAAATTTCTCTCTCTCTCTTTCTCTCTCTCTCCCTCAGCCCCCCTCCTCTACTTGCTCATCTCTCCCTATATATATTTTTTTTTCTTTTTTTTTTTTTTAAAGAAAAGAGGTTTTGTAAGTACTTCCCTTTGAACTTAAAAGTTGGGGGGAATCACATCACGTCACTGGATACCCACCGTGTCTGTGTTGCTGCCAGCAGGGATACTGTTTTTTATCCTGCTGGGCTATTCGTGTCTGTAAATATGTACCTTCTCAGAGAAAGCCCTTTACTGTTGTTCTCATCATAATGTTAACACTGAAGGTTTTTTCTCTGTTGAGCATCCATGCAAAATAGAAATGTTTCCTGTTGTAAAAGGTAGGATAAAAATGGGGAAGAAGGGTACTCTTCTTTGGGCACCGGCAATATATTTTATTTGAAAGGATGGTCTATGTGTACTTTTAAACCACGTTTGGCTTAGAGTTTAGTTTTAGGCCAAATGAGAATTCTGTTTCCTTCTGTATGGTGTGGATAGTGACCCAAACGCCTGTAAGTACAAATCTAAAAGTGCGCGTTTGAATTCAACTTCATTTACCCTGACTTATCCATTCAGGAAGATGACTTCAATGGATTTCTAGTGTAGAAGAAAGAAATCCTGTTCTCTATAGTGAATCAAAAACTATCTCCTAAAAAAAATGTGAATACTCTTTTGTAGACTCTGCCTTCTTGTGCAAGATGCCTATGGAATGTTCAGTGAAGTGTACTCTGAGGGCACCATCTTGAAAGACCAACAGTTGGAAGGGAAATCCTGCAGCCTAATGGGAATGAAGGTTCTACAGAAGGCCACCAGAGGAAGGTGAGGACATTCTGTAATAGCATCTAGTTTGCTGCAATGACTGGTCCTTTAATTAGTGTTTTATCTCTTAGTTTTAAAGACAATAAACTAGGATCCTAGAGTTTGCCTATAAAACTAGGCCAGGGTTGAATAAAGCCCATAAAGTACTTCTAGGGGAAAAAATTGTAATTAGCAACAAAAACAATCATGCAGATTTAGTGATTCCTAATTTTATTAAAAATTAAGAAAATGCAAAATGTTATGTATCTGTGTTTTAATTGTAAAGATTTATTTTCTGTATGTCTTACTAATTAAAAACTAAAACAGCTTCACATGAGTCAGTTTATCTAAATGAAAATGTAATTTAGTGTACAGGCAGTTTATAATCTTTTGTATAAGAGTTTTGTTAAAACTCTTAAGTTGTCACATCTTTTTGCTTTCCATAGTAAGAAAGTTTTGTTCTCTGTTAAGTTTCATGGTACATCACCTTAAAATGTGATTTTGGACATGCAAGGTAGAATGGTACATAGATCTGGTCCAAACTGTTGCTATTATATCTCCAGTAATCATTTGAAATCTATAAATTAGGGGGAAAAAAGAAACATTTTTTAATCATACTATTCAATCATATAGAGAATTAATATATAAACAGTAAATTTGGGATTTTCTCTATTTTATTGTAATCTCTCCTTCCTTGAATTGTGTGTTATTTTAACTCTTTTGATGTTAATTTTTTATCTAATTAATTAACATCTGAGCTTATACCAATATCTGAGAGAGAGAAAAAACCATTATGAGTGTATGATGTTCTGATTATAAAGCAGGTTTTGATAGTATCCTCCTCTGGTTTGCATAATGAACATTCTAGCAATGGTCATTCTAAATTGTGAGCTTTTGGGGCACCTGAGTGGCTCAGTCGGTTAAGTATCCAACTCTTGATTTCAGCTCAGGTTATGATCTCCCAGTTGTGACATCAAGCCGCTTGTCAGGTTCTGCTCTGACTGTGCAGAGCCTGCTTGGGATTCTCTCTGCCCGGCCCCCCCCTTACTTGTATGTGCCCGCTCTCAAAATAAATAAATAAAAAATTTTTAAAAAATAACTGAACTGTGAGCAGTCAGCATTCCCACAGGCCACAGCTCTGTGTATCATCTGGCTTTCATATAGGACTGTCCAGAGTGATGGCTCCGCCTAAGAGCTTGTTTTTCCAAAAGACATGTACTTCATAGAAAGATCCTCTATAAGCTGTGGTTAGATGGACACAAGAACATTTTATTGATCCATGCAGATTTATCTTATAACAAATGCTTCCTTTTGTTTATGAAAGGGTAGCTGTATTATAATGCAATTTCCGTATGGGTGGGGGGTGGTGCCCATTTGGAAAGCATATCTACATGTGTGAAAAGTTTAATGGGAAAAAAAAGAAAAGTTTAATTGGGTCACATGAACCTTGTCTTTATTAAGGCTGAACCTCAGTTTGAGTCCTAAGTTTGAGAAATACAAGCATCTGAAAGACTGTGTAGTTACAGTAAATGGTATGGCTACCTTGACATATTGATAGCATGAATGCTCTCAGGGCCATGTGAGAGGTCATCTTCCTTGACATAAATTCTACACCTAATTAAACTCCCACCTGAGCATACCAGGATACAAGTGGGCTCCCTGTCAGGGGAAATGCTCTAGCCACCAGGTTTGCTGGCGTCCCATAGGCCAGACAGAGGCTGCTTCGGGAAGCTGACATCTTGCTGGAGACTATTTAGCACATAACTTCTTGTGGGATTCGGCTGATAAATGACAGAGTCAGGACTGCAGTCCAGAGGTCTCTGCCTCTGTAAAGTTTATGCTTTTTTACGACATACACTCTATACCTATGCTCCCAATATTTAATCTACTTTTTTGTGGGTAACCCTGGAAGCCTTACTACTATCTACAACATTCCCATAGGAAATGTTTTTTTCCACAGGAAATACACTGAGTGTTGCACATAGTTCATTTACAAACTTTTGGAACCCATACTATTTTTAAGTTGATGACTAAATATGTGATTTTTTTTCCAGTTGGGATAAATTTCTTTACTTATATATTTAATTATATTTTGACACACAGCTATCCATACAAATGTTTAGATTGTCTTTTGTTATTTTAGAAGCTATCTTTCTTCAAAACAAATTATTAGATCATTTAGGAATGCTGGATGTTATAATTGCCTATTGGTGATATCATGCATTGTCAGTCATCCATCCATGACCCAGTCAACACAAATAGTCTCTTTTATTTTCCCCCAAATTACTCTGTTTCATAGCAACTTTCATAAACTCTAACAAAATATATTTCTCATAAACCTTAACAAAATATGTTTATTACCCAAATTCAAGCTAAAATGATTAATTATAATTATATAATTCCAGTATCTAATACAGAAAAATAACTTTTTTTGCCAGTTGGAAAATAGTTGTGTTTGGGCAAAGTCATGAAGTCTTCTAGACCTTGGCTACCAGATTTCATCTAATCCATACTTCTAGTGAGAGAAAATCACTACTCCCCTACAAGGGACGTGGACCGATGGCCTGAGAGCTGTCCAGACAGACATGCTGTTGGACCAGTGTGCACGGGACACTGTTCTGTCCACCAGCCTCATTTGAGAAGGCTTGCAAAAGAAACAATCATATCTTTTGGATTTCTCTGACATATTTTTGGAGTTGTATGCCCAAACTGACTGCTTAAAGCAAAAAACATCAGAAAAATAGCCTGAATTTAAAGGGTAAAAAAACACCATTTTCAAAAAACAAAAAAACCCACTTCTGAGGCATGCTTACTGAGTAGAATGTGGAGCTCTGCCTATGCTCTCTTCCCTTCCAGAGTACTTCCGGCTATTTCTCCTGGGACTTTCTTCTAAGGCGTGTCCCCTGACCTTTGTCTTCCTGCATGGCCTGTGCAGCGGTTTAGTAGGTCAAATAAGCTGAAAACTCACATGACTTTGATGTTATAATTATATGTATGAACTTTATCTTTTTATTGTTGATTATTATTTGTTTTTAGTTTTACATGATAGGACAGTACTGAAAGGGAAAATTCCTAAAATATATGTTAACCCTGTAGGTATGGAAAATACAGCTAGCTAAATTTTTTGTGGGGGAGGGGAAGTTCTTTCAGTTCAAAATCCTACTAGTATTTATGTCCCAACTTGTTAAAACCTATTAAGCTCTCTGTGTCTAAAATGACTAACTTATAGGTGCTATTTGATTTAGATCTGTTGACTGGCCTTTAAGAGAAAATTTTATTAAAGAGCACTTAGTGCTTACTATTTACAGAAGATTCTACCAGAGTGTCCAGAATGACAGGGAGCAGCTGGCATGATCTTTGACCTTGATTGGCATCCCATTGAACAGACAACTAGACGGACACAAGTATTGGAGCAATTAATGTTTTAAGTGGCTAGATCTTAACTGGCTGATCTCCAATTTCATGAAAGAAGTTAGTGAAAACAAATGCTTTAAACATCCTGACCTGCCAGAAAGAAAAGTTATCTTCAAATTGGTAAGATGTGGGGCGCCTGGGTGGCTTAGTTGGTTAAGCGTCCGACTTTCGCTTGGGTCATGATCTCGCGGTTCGTGGGTTCGAGCCCCTCGTCGGGCTCTGTGGTGACTGCCATCTCAGAGCCTGGAGCCTGCTTCAGTCTGTGACTCCCTCTCTCTCTGACCCTCCCCTGCTCACGCTGTCTCTCTCTCTCTCTCTCTCTTTCTCCTAGAAATAAATAAAACATTAAAAAAAAATTTCAAATTGGTAAGATGTTATCTGTGAGGACATACATATAGTATCAGGAGGGATGTTTGCAAAATAGGAAATGAGAGGGTTTATTGAAAAGATAATTCACTCATTTATTCTATAACTGTTTGGCCTCTTTGTGGCTGGTGGCTGTAGCAGTGAGCTCTGTGTTAAATTTTTTGGATTTATCCTAAACCAGAATATACTAAAGTCAGCTAGATAATGTTATTAGGTCCTGTTATTAGGGATTCTGCATTGATCCAAGAGAAAATTAGAGCCTCTGTGAGATTTTGAGGGAAGAAAAGAAGAGGTAATAAAAATGAAAGAGAGTTAAGATTATCCTGTTACTGTACCTGTAATGGATCTAAGATAGAGGGAGAGCTGGTGGCAGGACTATAAATTCAGAAACTTCTGTAGCATTTGAGGGAAAAAGAGCAAAGAACTAGTTAGGAACTAATCTTGAATTTCTGGTACCTGCAGGCATCAGTACCAAGAGTATAAAAATAGACCACTTCCTCCAAGAGCTCATGGACCAGCAAGAGAGCCAGGGGTGACCCAGACAGACACTAACTGGCAAGTGCTTCATACAGAATGCTGTAGGCTAATAGCTCCCCCCTTTGAAGGGGGCTCAGAGGGCAGGTTAAAATTTAGGAACCCTGAAGACAACAGGAAAGGCCTGGGGCTAAGGACTAGAATGAGGAAGAGAGAAGACAGGCTCAATTGTCCAAATACCCATTTACCTCCTTTGAGAGGAGAGCACTGCTCTCTGTTCAGCTTTTGTGATAGAGTAAAGGGGTAAGTACTTTGTGTTAGGGGGTACATTTCAGAAAATAATCCAATTAATAGTTATTATTTTAAGTGTTTTGTTTTGTTTTGTTTTTTTTGGGGGGTGGCGCTTTTGTGGGAGAGCATGTACAGCACGGGGTCAGTGGGGCAGAGAGAGTGGGAGAGAGAATCCCAAGCAGGCTCCAAGCCGTCTGTGCAGAGTCCCATATGGGGCTTGATCCCATGAACACTGAGATCATGACCTGAGCTGAAATGAAGAGCCAGACGCTTAACCAACTGAGCCACCCAGGCATCCCAATTAATAGTTACTGTTTAAATCAACTTTTGTTTTCAAGGTAACAGATTAAGTACTGCTAAATTTTATACCAAAAGCCAAGCTTAGTCAGCATGCTCAAATACTAACCCCAGAGTCAGGATACAAAAGTCCTTTACAAGCCCCCATGCCAGCTGCACTTGTAGCCTTTTGTCCCACC